GCACAGCAGCAGGATGATAGGGATGCAAGCGAAGGAGACTCATCTGACAGCGGAGATACAGAGAAGAGGCAGTCGCTGCAGCAGCAGCAGAAGCAGCAGCAGCAGCAGCAGCAACAGCAACAAAAGCAGAATAAAAAACAACAGCAGCAGCAGCAGCGAGACAAGCAGCTGCAGCAGCAGCAACAGCAGCAGCAGCAGCAGCAGCAGCGACAGCAGCAGAGGCAGCGCCCGCAGCCTCTCTCTGCCACCAGCGATAGGCCTGCAGCAGCAAAGTCAGCAGCAGCAGCAGCAACACCAACACCAGCAGCAGCAGCAGCAGCAGCAACAACAGCAGCAGCAGCAGCAGCAGCAGCAACAGCAGCAGACAATGGTTCTGGCCGGCGCTATCTAGTGGAGATGAGCGCTCGTGATGTAGCAGCACTAGCAGATGTTGCTGCTGCTGCTGCTGCTGTTGCTGCTGGTAATCCCCCTCCTGCTGCAGTGACCCGAGCAGCAGCAGATGCAGCAGCAGCTGTTGCTGAGCTAGCAGCAGTTGCTGCAGCAGAAGGAGCAGCAGCAGGAAAGGGCAGAAGGGCGAGTATTGAGGACCCCACTACTAATCCTGCTGCTGCTGCTGCTGCTGCAAGAGCAGCAGCAGCAGGTGCTGCTGCTGCTGCTGCTGCTGCTGCTGCTGACGATGATGATTCGCAGACAGACGAAGAGTCATCGACAGCAGCAGCAACAGCAGCAGCTTCAGCTACACCTGCTGCAGCAACGCCTCTTGTGCAAGACGATGCAGCAGCAGCAGCAGCAGCAGCAGCCGCAACAACAGCAGCAGAAACAGCAGCAGGCGCAGCAGCAGAAGCAGCAGCAGCCGCAACAACAGCAGCAGCAGCAGCAACAGCAGCAGCAGCAGAGGCAGCAGCAACCTCAGCCGCAAAAGCAGCAGCAGGCTCAGCAGCAGAAGCAGCAGCAGCCACAGCAGCAGAAGCAGCAGCAGCAGCCGCAGCAGCAGAAGCAGCAGCAGCCTCAGCAGCCGAAGCAGCAGCAGCCGCAGCAGCCGAAGCAGCAGCAGCCGCAGCAGCCGAGGCAGCAGCAGCAGCAGCAGCCGAACCAGCCACCGCCACAGCAGAAGCAGCAACCACAGAAGCAGCAGCAAGAGCAGCAGCAGCAGCAGCAGCAGCAGCAGCAAGGATCCCGCCGATCGTCACCAAAAGCAGCAGAAAGCGGAAGCCCCAGAGCAGAGCCAGCAGCAGCAGCAGCAACACCAGCAGCAGCAGCAGCAACACCAGCAGCAGCACCAGCATCGCATGCTGCTAATGCCCGTGAACGTTCTGCTGCTGCTCGTGTTGCTGCCGCCTTGTCATAGAGGCTGTGCAGATTGTCGTGTTGATACTGCTGTTG